CCCCCCCCCCCCCCCCCCCCCCGTACCCGCTCTCACCCGGCCGGGAATTTTCTACTTTTTTTCCGTGGTGCGTGCGGTTGCCTGTTCCAACACTTGCGTGCCTGTCTAGCTAGCGGTATTGTTTGTTGGAGTGCTTGCGGCTGTGCCTCCTGGCTTTCTGTTTCCTGAATAACCACAGTATACTTACCACGCTCTCTGCGGGGTTGTGCGTGTACGCCGTTACCACCCCCCCTTCGTGTCGGATGGCATACGCAAATCAGACACACGAGCTTGGAGGGCCACGTGCAGGCCGAGGTTACCGAGATGAGGAACGAGCTCGCCGAGGCGCTGCTAAGGGTCGAGCAGCTGTCGGCCCAGGAGTCGCTCCTCAAGTCCACCATCAGGGCGCTGGAGACAGATCTCGTGACGGAGAGGTGAGATCGAGATTCAACACGGCGTGAAGCGGATGCACACACACATTTTGATTTGGGTCCTCTCCTTGTACTTCACTGTATGCAGGGCACTTGGTGTCTTCCAACTCCTGCACCCCCTGCCGACCGTAGAAACCTGAAACCTTTGATTAGAAAGTGTTGTTATTTATTTATCCCGCTTTTTTACTGTATTACAAGACGGACGTAATTTCTTTGGTCAGTCAGTTCGCGCGGTCGATGCAAAATATGAACACACGTTTTGTGTTTCCAAGGCACTGAGACTTGCGTATTTTCATTTGTCAGCCAGTTAGCGCGGTCGATGCCAATGAAAAGGACGCACATACGCACACGGCCTCCCCCGTGACACCCTCTCACGGGGTCCCAGATCATGGTCTGTAGAACGTGCTTCATTTTGTTCCGCTGGGACTGGCCGCTTTTCATTGGTCAGTCGGTTAGCGCGGTCGATGCTAACAGTAAAGACACACATACACGATCCTAGCTCCAAAAACAGGCACCTCTACCTGTGGTAGCAACTTCGAGGCACAGTGCACGTTGTGAAAATTGCGTTGCCATTAACATGAACGTCGTGGAATGAAGGATGTGTGGGACCTACTTACCCACCCAATCACGCTCCCCCCCGCTCACGTTGCTGTCCTGTGAGGGGATGCTCGCGCGCGTGTGGGTTTTTCCCCTTACTGTAGGAACTTGGCTTTAGGTTGATTAGGGCATTAGCGCTGCTGTCTTGGGCCTGAGTGAATGGTTAGTGGTCCGGATGCCGTTTGTTTGGTGCGCACAGACGGACGGCGTGTGTTGTCATGATTGAGAAAGGGATCGGTCTAAAGGATAAATCAGTCTCCAGGACGTTCGTGGCTAGCAGACTTGTTGAACGTGTCTGCCTCAGAGCTATCACCGGTTATTTTGGTCATTTTTCGAGCAGGTCTACAACAGATTTTGATAGAGACATGCCTGTCTTCGATGTGAAATACCGGTGTTGATTGTGATTCCGCAGGGCTATTTGGCAGACCGATGGACATGTCTTGTTTCGAACGAACACGACCGTTATTTTTCGTTGTTTCCAACAGAAATCTTGGCAGCGGAGAAACTGCACCGATCAACGTGGCTTACCTCAAGTCGGCAGTCGTTAGGTGAGACGAGAAATGGGAGAATCGACGATCCGGAGTTTACTCGCACGCACAAGCTCTGTAGCGCAGTGGGTTTGTCCTTCACGTTCGGCAATATCGAGGACCCGATCCTACGACGGCATGTGTAACAGATGGCGCTTGACGCGAAATAACGAATAACATATGGCATAAAGGCGTCCGCGTCGATTGGACCGGTACGGATGTTAGAAGGTACTGTAACGAGAAAGCGCAAGAGCGTTTTTTTTTTGTCAAGACCCCAAAAATGTGGCAGCAAACGTCCCTGATGACTGACTCGGGAGAGTGAATGCGCAGAACCTGTTGCGACGGGTCCTCTGAGCTGACTGCCTTTCGTACACCTAACCAAAGCGCCTCTTCCCCGTCTCGTTGGTAGTGATTGTCAATACTCGCACCACCTCTGCAAAAACCGTTGGACGCTTGACACCGCTACGGGATATAACCCCAACCGCCAACTGTGTTGCCCATCCTCGAGACCCGTGCATCCCATGCGGCTGATGCTTGGTGGCGCACGCAGAGCCGGGATAGGTTACGATGGAGCAACAGACATCTTGCTCCCCCGAAGTCGAAGGTATCACGGCTGTAGGACTGACGTTTGGCGCTGCAGGACAACGTAGCCTCTGACCCTCCCGTTGCTGTCTGCGTGCGCCCTCGTCAAGTATCCTCTCTTGCCCTGGTTGCTGCTCTGGCCTTGCTTTTTTGCCCGTTTGTATCAGGTACATGTCTACCCGCGATGCTGGGGAGCAACGCAGCCTTCTCCGAGTGATCTCGACCATCCTGCAATTCACAAAGCAGGAGGTGGCAGACGTTGAGGCTCGTATCACGGAGCTAGAGAAGACCATGGTGAGGTTGTGTGCATGTTGTTCGTTTCCTTTCACTTTTGAGCCCCTATGCATTCCTGCATCCCTATTCATACCTTGTACATAACCATACGTGGTATATGGTTTAGATATTTTCGGCCCATGTTCCGCCACTGTTTTGACCTTGAATCAGGTGCTGTCAGCGTGAATGCTCCCTGGCAACGACGAATGTCGACGCCTGCCCCCGCCATTTCCCGCCACTGTCAGGCTATCTGAAGGAATGGATTTTGTGATCTGAATGTTTCGATGCCATGTACCCTGTTTGGACGATGACGGGAAGTTTCATCCGTACCCGCGACACTGTTACCTTCACCCCCCACACACACTCCCGTGGAGAACGATGACACTTTCACACACACGACCTTTCACAACCCCCGTCGGGTATCTCTGCTTAGGTAGTGTGCAAAGGATAGCTTTTCATTCTTTCCTGTACCTCCATGCGTGCCTATTTGCCCTTGGACGGGTTTCGGTCGCCATCCGTTTCTCCTCCACCTGCGCTTCCAACAATTTGTTGGCTCTCGTGGCGGTGCTCTTGTTAACGTTCGCCCCTTGTGCCGTTCACTCACACGCCTACCCTTCTTCAGGTCAGGCGCGCCGGCAGTATGGTGGGGGGAGCCGGACGGCGCGTGGGCGGGGTCGTCGGCGGGGTTGTGGGTCTCGTGTGGGGAGGGGGGAGGGCTGCCGCGGCGGATGACGGCGACGGCGTAGACGTTACGGAGGACGGCGGCGAGGAGGGATAGAAACGCGGCGCTGTCTGTCTCCGAAACGTCCGCGGCGTCTGTACCTCCGGAGATTCGTGTTCATCATCCATTTCCTCCATACGTGAAAAACTGTTTTCATTACTCCACGGTGGAAACTGGTTGTCGTCCAACAGCACTGCGAAGTGGTACGGATTGCCGTGGGCCACGGCTGCCCACGACTGCTTACGCAGTGATTAATATTTCTCGACGAGAGGCGAGAGCCGTAGGACTTGGTGTGGTGTGTCGGGATGGTCACGCGCGGTCACCGCCAAGAGGCAACGGCCGGGCATTTCGCCGCAGCAGAACCCCCAATTTGATGATAGAACGAACGCCGTCATCTTCACCTCTTTTATCATGTAGCAGCTGCCCGGTTCAGTTTTTTACCGCATCGGGTGTTAAAGTAGGGGGGGGGGCAGTTTCGCCCGAATAGCAGCGTCTTGGTGGGACATGCGCCCCGGTCTCGACGCGCTCTCCAGACGTGTTTAGTGTTTAGGGGTTCATGTGTGTGCATGTAGGGGGCGTTGATACGGAATATTGTGTGCTGAACGGACTTGTTTTCTGGTGTCGTTTGGTGTGAGCTGTGCTGGAATGGTTTGCATCGTCAAAGCCACGGGTTGGGGTGTATTGGCCGCGGGAATATAACAAGGGGCAGAAAAATGGGGACTGAGTCGTCTATGCATCGGTTAGGAAGGCGTTCTTTCTGACAAGTGTCGAGGGCTTTGTCGTGTCTTGCGCGGCGTTTTCGCTGGCCAGTCGAATCAGGCGAGCCAGTGTTGAGCATTTTCGCTTCTTGATGGAAGGCGAAAGGAGCTAAAGTAACAAAATAACAAAACAACTAATATAGGGATAAGAACACGAGCATGCAAGGCCTTTGTCGGGTGCTCGTTACCTCTTGGACTGCATGCAATCAAAGCGCGCATGTGCTGTTGATCCATCTTGTCTCAGTTGTTGGGGGGACGTTGTTTGCCGCTTGGCTGCGATCCCCCAGCTGCACGTTTGACGCATCTCCCACAACCCACAAGCAACCAACCCTCCGGAGCGGTTCAAGGCACTGCCAATGTTCCAGACGGACCGCAGGCTTGCCGTGCGGGCACGTTTGTCTCTGCGATACAAGGCCGACGCATATCAGTCATACTTGCTTGAGCCTTTTACTATGTACCACGCTACGCTACGAGACTTTGGTCGCCACTGAGCACAAGCTTCTCTAAAATATCTCAACTCAGACTATACATCGGGTTCAGGATAACGCGTGGTTTGTTTTTGGGCCATCCTGCCTCGCGGCTATGGGGCAAACCGCCCACGCATTCCAAGACATTGCAATTTTGAATGAACGAAGACAGGCATAGGTTTTGTGTCCGATTCATGCGGCGCAAGCACCGGGGACACAGCGAGGAGCGACAGAGACTAGGACCCAAGCACTGGGTTATCACGTGTTATCCAGCAACAGGCCAAGCGCGACACTGACGAGAACGCAACAATACTTCTTCCGCGACATGAACAACGTGGCGCAGGCTACAGCTGTACGTCCTGCAGCACAAAGGGCACTCTGCGCTAGGAGCTTGCCCCGGCCTGTGTCGATCGCGTTCAAAGAGCGACCCACCCCTTTCCACAGAGGAAGCGCCTTCGATCCGGTGCTTCTCTGCCCGTTACACCGGCAACACCGAACGAAGCACTTTCTATATCCTAGGGTATCAGGCTTCTTCGACCACCAGGTAGTCTCCTGTCCACGAACATAGCTACGTATCCCTCGGCCATTGCTAGCTAGTCTCCTTTTGTTCACGAACATGTTGACGAACACGCTCCAGGCCGGTCTGAGTGTCGGTCGTGTATTGGTGATGCTCCCCCATCCTCGTCCTTCGGATGGAGTACGCCCTCTCCAGAAGTGGAATCGCCTCGTTGTGCTTGCCCTGCAGGACATTCGAGATATGTGCAGGACGTAAAATCTATCACGAACAGAAAGTGCCCCACATAATTAAGATGTTGGCAGTGGAGAGATGGAGCCTCAACAAAGTCAAAATCCAACAGCTTTTGAGCCTCATTTGTGAGTCCGGTTGAGAACCCCTACACTTAATCCTATATTGCGGTCATTCGTAGCATAACCCTAGGAACTAAATAGACTACAGTACTGCAAGCACCCCAGCCTCGACAAAACTGGAGGTTCCTTTAGTGCGGGCGCTTTCTGTACGCGACAGCATATGTCAACGAGGCTAAACAGCGGCTCGTTCCCCCATCAGACAACATGCAAATGCGTTGGAAGACGAGATCGAGCCAGATAGCACAATAAACCTCATCCAAACACGCAAAAGTCAGCTGAAGGCAGATCATTTGTCAAAAAAAAATTGACGCCATAGTCTACGAGTTCATTGGTAACCAAAAAGTTTCTTCTGCAAGAATCCTACGGCTCTTACCTGGCTCTCTAACACCCGCGCCCAGTTGTGTAAGCTTGTGGCGACCTCAGGGTGATCAAGACCATGAACCTTCTCAAATATAGCAAGCGAGCCCTTGAACAGCGGCTCCGCCTCCTCATACATCCCCTGAAGAACGTGACGACAATTTGTGCAAGAAAAAAGTGGGGGCATACATGCGTACACGCGCGGGAAAAAACGCTTGCTCAACAACATGTTGCTCTATGTGGTTGTTTAACATCCACAGGGTACAGATAAGGAAAAATTTCGTGAGGAAAAAAAAACCCGAGTGTTCGCGAAAACTAGAAAAAGAGCTACAGTAGAAACACAGCTAATCTCGGCCACAACATAAGAAACGTTCCAAGAAGAAACATGATCGTGCGATACCCCCAAGGCATAAGCGCGTTCTACTTTTCGATTTGCTTTCACCCCCTCATGTAGCTGTGGTGCAATGTCCCAGGAGGGAAGAGTGAATCTTCCGTGGCGCCCCCCCGGCGCCAAAACAAAAAAGCCGCCGCGGGCCACCACATGGGTACATCGATAGCACTCACCTTCCGCCTCCTCTCTTTGGGGCTTGAGCAAGTTGTTTGTCCTCAGAATTCAGAATGAGTCTTGTTGTTGTATTTACAGGAAGAAAATCAGCAGGAAAAGACAGCCCCAAACACCTGAGAAACCCGTTGAAAGAAAATGGATGACCCAGGCTGTCGTTCGATCCAACATAAGAAATTGAGGGTCGACTCGATATCGACTTATGTTGTCTCCGGGCCCGTTCTGTACCATGGGAACATTCCTGGAAAATTCTGGTGACTCTCACCTGTCGGTACAACAACCCCGCCTGGTTGTTTAGGTCCGCAGCCACTCGCGGATGTTGTGGGCCAAGGGCTGCCTCATTAATGGCGGCTGCTCGTAAATATAGAGGGCCTGCTTCCTCATACTTGCCCTGGAATGTAGTGTAAGATTGAAGACGACGGGATGTGGTCAAGACAAGAGATCCGGAGAACGAATGCATGCTCAACACGGGCCGGGTGTTCAGCGTTTTAGACAAAACGTAGACGCTCAGGCCCTTGAGTCTCGTGCTCCACCGCCTGACAGAGCAGCTCGCCCTCTGCGTAACTTTCCTTGGAATGTGAGGGAAAGACGGGGATGGGGGTTGTAATGTTCATTAAATACACGTAGATTGCGCAAGAGCAACACATATTCAGCAACCCTGGCCAGTTTGAGGAACGTGGTTGTTGTCTCTTTTTGCTGCTGCCGCCTTGAGCCTGTGGTGAGAAGTGAAAACGTTCGGTGCGCTGGCGAGGGCTGGTGTATGCGGAGGCAGGGCAGCGAACCTTGCGGTGATAGCTTTGCTAGGCCAAGGGAATTCAGCTCCGGCGAAGAAGAGAAGAAAAAAGTCTCCACGAAGATGTCAAAATGACGGACAGATGTTTAGAAAGTAATCCTTGTGTCGCTTCGTTTGAAATCCGTTGGACAATAGTTGAGGTTTAGGTCGCGGTGAGGCACCGCTGCGGTCTCGTGCGCGTAGCTTCCGTGAGCTCAGGGTGATGGCTACCAGACCAATAGCAAAACGCTTTGGAGAGTCGATCATGTAAATGCATAGGCTATTATGTTTTGGGAGGCAGGATTGGAACGAAAGCTCGTAGAGTGGATCGGTCTCAGCATACTCGCCATGGTATGTGGTGAACAGGGCACGCGGCAGAGAGTTTGAAAGTCTACAGTAGTAAAATTGAGTTCTAGAACAACAGTGGAAATATTTGCCCTCCACAAACACCTGCAGTAGAAGCAACGCGTGCTCCTCACCTGGCACTGCAACAGCTCCGCCCTGTTGTTGAGCACCGATGCCACATCAGGGTGCTCCGGACATAGCACCATCTCCCGAATGGCCTGTGAACGCTTGTAGAGTCGCTCCGCCTCATCGTAGTTGCCCTGTGCAATACGAAGTGGATCCTCGGTCACCCAGCGGTAAAACATTCCAACTCTTGTTTTCTGACTCCAAACCGTGGGTATTGAATTGGATGAGGCCCCCTGTGCCAGACGACGTGGTCTCGCCCATCCTTCGTTTCCTCCATTGGCTTCTCTCACTGGACCACTTCGGCGAGGCGGGAATTCACCCAAACTTCCTCCATCCGTCCCGGTACCTACTTACAGCCCCACGCATGCCGCCAATTCTTGTTTACACTTGGGGGACCAAGGGCAGATCACTAGCGTCGGCGTAGCTCTGAACCCCACGAAAGTCCAGGTAACATGTGGGCTCTCACCTGGGCTCTCAACAGCCCCGCCCGGTTGTTGTACGCTGTGGCAACGGTTGGGTGCTCAAGACCTAACGCTTTCTCCCAAGTCTTGGTGGCCAGCTCATGCAGTCGCTCAGCCTCCGCGTACTTGCCCTGTGAAAGGAGAGGTGATGATGTGCGCGGCAGCCAACAGTTCCGGAACGTGCCGCCGCGCAATTCGCGCCCTTAAAACGCCTTCTGACTCATTTTCTTCAACTCGCACATGCGACCCCAACAACTCCGCCCGGTTGCTGAGGACCACAACGTCCACTGGCACCACCGAAGAAAATTCCTGGAAAAAAAGCAACGGCTCTCACCTGCTTCTTCAACAACCCCGCCCGGTTGTTGAGCCATGCGGCAAGATCTGGGTGGTCAGGGCCCAACATTTTCTTCCCAATATCAATAGCTCGAAGGTACAGAGGGTCCGCCTCCGCGTACTTGCCCTGGAAGTGGAAATTAAGGCATCGATCGTGCGAATGTGGTCAAGGCGAGCAAAGCTCACTTCGGATGAGCAAATGCTCAACAACCCAGCCCGGGTTCTGAGCATTGCGGCATCGTTAAGGCGTTCTGAGCGATTGGTTGCACCCAGCACCCACAGAACTCGGGACGTTCAATGAGTCTGCCTCTTCGTACTTACCCCGAGAAATCGGGGCGGCAACGTCATAGGAATGAATGAGATCAAGGGTAGATAGATCGAACTGCGGAGGAGCAAACTGTCAACAAGCACGCCCGGTTGTCGGGTGGTGTTGTGGCTGCATCCGGATTCTCCGGGCCCAGCACCTTCTCTGAGACCGCTCGTACAGTGGCTCTCGGCCTCAGGTACTTGCCATGCCACGCTGCCGCAGACGGCGTCGCAAGGTGGTGCCATACGTAGGGTAGCCAGAGGGGCCCAGAACGTTCCCTCCCATGCCCTGTGACTGACCACTCACAAGAGTGGCTCTTGCCTGAGTTTGGTTGCCTTGAGATGTGTTGAAAAACAGAGTCGGACTTCACTCAGAATGAGAGCTAGAAAGGAATTGCGGGGAGAATCACCTACATAATAGAAGAATCGTTTTGCCTCCCACCTGAATCGTCAACAACCCCGCCCTGTTGTTGAGCACTGTCGCAACCACAACATGATCCGGACCGAGCACCCTCTCTCGAATGGCCTGTGACCGCCTGTAGAGTGGCTCGGCCTCGGCGTATTTGCCCTGTGACACACGGAGTGGGATGGAGTAAGCGAGTGGTCAAAACATCGAAAATAGGATGCCAACAAATGCACGCCCCGTGAAAATTCCTGTAACGTTCCATTGGATCATCTCACCTGTGCCGCAAGAAGTCCCGCCCAGTTGTTGAGTGTTACTGCCACATGCGGGTGCCAGGGACCCAAGGCCTGCCTTAATATCGCGTGGGACCGCTCATACAGTGGCTCGGCCTCATTTTGTTTGCCCTGGCATACCGTTGTAGAAAACGTGGCAAAAGTTGTGTGGAAGTAGCTCTATGAGATTGGGGTCTACAACAGCGGAGACAGACTATCTTCCACCACGCCCGGCCGATTGTTGAGCCCCTGGGTCACAGCAGGGTGCTCCAGGTCCACAACCGTCCCTCGTATGGCTTGTCACCGCTCGTTGAGTGGGTCGGTCTCAGCAACCTTGCCTTGGTATGTGGTGAACAGCGCGGCAGAGAGTCAGATTTCAGGCAAACTGGAGGACTAACTGGAGGAATGCTTTCTACCAGTAGCATCTAAATAGAGGAGTCGTTTGACTCTCGCCTGTGCCCTCAATAACTCCGCCCGGTTATTGATCGAGGTGGCCAGATCTGGGTGATCGCGGCCGAGCATCTTCTCCGCAACCTCAATCGCTCGAAGGTAGAGAGGGTCCGCCTCGGCATGCTTTCCCTGGAAGGGGAGGGCCAAGAACGAAAGGGCGTACACGAAGGCTGGGTACGGAATATGTTTCGGAGGACCAAAGGCCCAATAGCCGGGCGGGGTTGTTGAGCGACAGGGTAACACCGAGGTGCTCCGAACTTAGCAGCCTCTCTCTCGTGTGGCCTATGACGGCTCAAGGTCTTAGCACGCTTGCTGTGCGGAACAAGCGGTGGGTGATTGTTAGGGGAGCGGTTGCGTGTTTCGTGTACAGGCTGTGAGTGAGTTCGGTCAACCAGTAGTTTTGACACATCGGTAGGTACGCCACGACTCAAATGGCAGTGTGCGCCCCTCGCTCTCTCTTATATGCATAGCCCTGTTCTATAGCGAAGAGAGAAACAAACATCGTGGCGCCCCCCAGGCCAAGATACGCTGGGTCATATGCCGCCTACCGTAAATGACACAAGATAACACACCCCCTGGACCGATTTTCAAATCTCGATTTCTCGACAGCAGAAAGAGTCACAACGCGGAAAACGGTGGAGTTGAAGCTGTCTCGTCTAGAGCTTTCCGAAAAAATCATTTATGCATCCTCTTCGTTGTCGCATAATCGAGCTTTGAAAATTGGTCCAGGGGGTGTGTTATCTTGTGTCATATACGGTGACAGCATTCCCTCGGCGAGTTATGATAGAGGTCGGAATTGAGTTGCTTGCTGCACCTGACCTGCTTCTCCAAAACAAGGGCGAGCCTTGCCCTGGCTGCGTTAACGCGGAGCAACGCCTGTCTCGATTCCTTGGAGTCGTGGTCCTCGGCTACTCGTGCGGCGTCGTTCTCGGCATCCCCAAGTAGCTGGTGCGTTTTACAGACCACAAACGGACGCACGGGAACAAATGTTATGCATAGATAGCATACCATGCGCCGACAACGTGCCTATTGAAGAGGTGCTCTAACATAGACAATACGTGCAATCACAAGATAAGACGCCAACTGCTGTATACATACATGCAACCTCTTATCTCCCACAACTGGTGTATCTCCCAAAGCCGGCTGCACCTCTCGGTGACTCTCCTCCGCCCGATCGTATTGCCCGGCAGCGAGCTGCAGGTCCGGTAGGCAGAACCCAGTTTCACGCCAGTTTTGCCCAGCCAGGCGCATCATCTCCTTCATAACCTCGGGGGATACGTTCTTGAACAGGTCTTCGCCGCGCATTTCCGTGGTCACGTTTAGCTCCCGCGCCCACTCGTAAACGACGTGCTGGCCGCCTTTCAACGCGAAGAATTCGCGGAGGTGCAGCTGAATCTCACAAAGGTGGTCGTTCACGACGGGGTTCAGCTTCACATCCCGGTACCCGCTAGGCATCCAGTCGGAGTTGAAGCCGTTCTTCACCCGCAGAACATCTTGCTGCATGAGAGATTTCACAGCGGTAGCAGAAACCAGGTCATATCATGAGTTGTACGGTATGGAATATTTTTTTATGATGGCAACTTGCAGATCTCGAGGAAGTTCAGCTCTTGGGGACAACTCGTTGGTAGCATGGATGCTGACCTGTACTCTCTCAACTATGGGAGATGACATATACTGTTGCGGGGTAGCTTGGTAGCTGGTTTTTGGATCTTTTCATCAATATCGTTTCATGGCGCTTGGAGATGCCCTCCCACGACAAGGTACTGGCGAGTTCCAGATGAGGCTTTGATTCAAAAATGGGGGCGATTTGTTGGGCATGTCCTCGCGCTGCTGGCGAGCTCATGCACGAGACCTTGAAAACGAGGCGTGCAAACCTTAAAAACGAGGTGCCAAGGAAACCTCGACCAAAAGGAGGAGTCCAAACTTGTGTATCAACCGCGGGGCTGGTTCGTGAACATTCTGTGCGCTCTGCACACCACCAGCGCTGGCTTGCTATGTCACTGAGAGTGAAGCCCTGCCCACGTTGAAAATATCGATGCCCTTCCAGCAGCAATCCGTGTTCCGTGTCACGGGCTGTACGCTCAGCACCATCGAATTTAGAGGATCTGAAAATGCTGATGGCGCGTTCGTGGGGCGGCAATAAACGAGTCCCTACGTTCTCAGCGTGGTATCTCCGCACTCCCGTTGAGGTACCTGGGCGTTCCCCGGCCCGCGCTGGCTCACTGACCGCAGCCGAACTCCACCGAGCTGCAACCCAGCGCAACCTCCACCACGGGCCATTCGATACTGACCGCGCACTCGACTCGATCTCTATAATAGGTGTGGTGCTCACGGTAAACATCCGCTACACTTAGTTGTGAGGGTCTTTCGGGCTATCTCTTGGTCAGAGTGTGAAGTCTGAATGCACTCCGGCTAACACCGGGCCTAACAACATCAGGGCAGAGTAAGCAAAACCTGAATGACTAGTAAACACAAAACAGCAATTCAGGCGTACAGTAGTTGAACGGGAAGGCGACCTTGAAATCGGGTACACAAAATCCCCAAGCAACACGGTCGTTATCGGATCGCTATCTTTGTGCACAACACAGCACAATAAGGCGCTGGTTTCTCAAAGTTGCGTTAAGTACCAATTTTATTTCAGGCGAACGAATACAACACGGCTTCGAGAAGCAATTGGGGATTATCGGCAAATCTGCATGTTCTACTACTCGCCTCGGGCAATCCCATGATCGCCAAGTACGCCTCTTTCAGAGCCTCCGGTGTGGCACAGATCACAGCCACCCTGGCCATGTCAGCAACCTTTCTGACGTCCCCGCCACAGGAGTTGCTGGCTTTCCGTCGCGTGCTTTCCCATGACTTGACATCCGCGCATTGAACCTTATACTTGCTCGAGTCGTGTGCAACCTTCGTTATGAGCTCGTCCAGATGCGGCTTTGCAAGCTCAGCGTCCGCAAGATAGAACTGTAGCTGGTTTTCAAGTTGCCCGCCTTCATCGCAGTTCTGTGGGTCCAAGACCTTGGGTTGGACGATGCCCGTCGACCGAGCCGGGGCGATGCTGCGGAGGCATTCAAGCCCTCCCTCTTTGTTGAGCTCGTAGTACAAATCGTCGTAGGCGAGTTGAAATTGCACGACCGTCTGGACCTGGAGGCACTTGAGGATATTCATCTTGGCGTCTGGGGTGGCAGGCGATGTTTCACGTTCACATGAAGCCTTCAGCTCGTTCTCCAGACGGAGAAGCTCCTCGATGTCGACATTCATCTACGGTACAACAAAAAAAAGCAACGTACGTGAACATCAGGTATTAGCGGCTTACGACGCCACGCTCAACAATGCGATGCAAAATGGCGTTGAAAGGAGGTGTAGATGGTTGTGCGTGTGCCATAGGTAGATGTCTTTTTCCACAGATGGGCGTGAAGGCGATGGTTTGTTATTCCGTGAGTGCAGTGAGGAAAAGGGTTCTTCCTGCGACGCTTGGACTGGGAACGAACACCGGAATTCGACCAATGACGGTGCCTCTTGTTACGGTCCATGGTCCATGGTCCATGGCCAGGAAGTCAAACAAATGGCGTATTGTAAAGAAAACAGTTCTAGTACGGTTTTTCATATTGTACTGATACTTCAAACCTCAGTACCGATTCTCGATACTGTACTAAACGTACTGTCGCGTTTAGTACGGCTCTCCATACTGTACTAAGCGTACTGTTGAGTTTAGTAGGACTTCCCATACTGTACTAAAAATAGTTTTAGTACGGCTCTCCATACTGTCCTAAACATACTGTTTCTTTTAGTACGGGTCAATATACTGTACTAACGGTACTGCTGTTGCGTTTAGTAGGGCTTCCCATACTGTACTAAAAATAGTTTTAGTACGGCTCTCCATACTGTCCTAAACATACTGTTTCTTTTAGTACGGGTCAATATACTGTACTAACGGTACTGCTGTTGCGTTTAGTAGGGCTTCCCATACTGTACTAAAAATAGTTTTAGTACGGCTGCCCATACTGTACTAACGCGATAGTACAGCCCCCCATACTCTACTCAAAGTACGCTTTAGTATACAATCAGTCAAGTACCTGTTCTCATGATTTCTACCAAAGGGCGTGTTGGTGACGTCACTATTCGGCAGAAAATTGTACAGTCTCGCCATACAGTCTCGCTCCTGCGAGTGATCGTGGGCTCGTACTGGCGTGCTCGACTACTGAAGGTATTGGTGTAGTGGCCCTCAGGGGAGGTGGTGGCAGCATGAGTAACGCGAGTGGTGGTTCGACCGCATCTCCCGGTGCGGGTGGTTCTCCCGGTACGGGTAGTCCCGCAACGGGTTCTTCACCACAAGACCAGGTGGTGGTCGTGGCGGGCTCTACGAATGGAGGAGCTCCACAGCAGTCGGTAAACCTCAAGCGTCCCGAGCCGATCTTCTACTATCCGTTCGAGTGTTTACTGTTTCCTTTTATTTTCTTCTCTTTTTCTCTTATTCTCTTTTTCTCTCTTTTTCTATGCCAGATGGCCTTGTTCCTGCTTGCGTTGTGAAGTATATACCAAGATTGAACTAAGGGGGTGTACCTCATTCTCTCCGGCCCGTGATGGTGACCCCTAGTCTCAGTTGTTACCTCGCATAGCGCGCAGAGGGCCATCATTGGACTCTGTCGTCTGCCCCTTTGGCCCCTATCCTCCACTTCCACTAGCTAAACGACCCAACCGGGGTCACACAGGAGGGGGGGGTTGGACCCCCTCCTGCGGTTCCTGCCTGAAATATATTTATCGCGGGAAAGGTACAGCAATCCCTTTCCTCGCGACTTACGAAGTCGATTATGGTTTACTAACAACGAACTTTGCAGCGCGTCGCTTTCATCCTATACCAGGATTTATAAAGTGAGAAAAAACCCACTCTGCCGGGACTCGAACCCATGACCTGACCCTTAGCAGACTACGAGGGTACCCACTAGACTACCGGGGCGACGGTTTATGTAGTTGCCTGGTTGCCTGGTTGCCTGCGTGAGTGGCCTGACCGGACAGAACTCCGCCACAATTTGGGTTTCACACGGAAGAACTGTTGGCGTTCGGGTTCACGCGCGCGACATGCGATCATGTGATCATGTGACATCGATCTACCCAGTCGCAGAGCAGAGCAGACGAGGGGCACACTGCATGCTAATGCTGCGCGACGATGCGCCTTTCCTCGCGCCACACGATCACCCCATTTCTTTTTTTCGGAGAATTCGTCGAGGGGTTGTCATTTTCAATTGAGCCGTCCACGTTAGCCCTGGGACGAGGAGGTGATCAGCGCAAAAGACGGCCAGGACTGCCATCGAGGCTCCAGCACAACGACTGCTTCAGGTGGATAAAAACACGTCTGTTCGGGGTTGGGGCTCACCTGTATGTTGTTGGCCAAATCACGAGCGGCTTTCAGTCTACACTACACCCGGGCGGAGGGCGCAAGTCTGTAGACTGCTGTAGACTACAAAACACATCGCTTTTTTTTCAGAACCAGGGGGCCCCGCAGATGCTACTTGTACTGCGCAGCCATGAAAAAATCGTTCCGAACTTGCGCAATCTACACTCACTGCTGTAGCTATTAATAGTGCTGTAGATACCTCTTTCTTGCGCGTGCTTCACAAGGAAAGTGCCTATGGACAAGAAAAGGTAGAATGATAAAGTATCCGTGGCAGCAGACGAACGTAAACTCCAAGTGAATGATATTATCGTCAGGAGATTCCGCCATCGAACCAAATATTTGCCGGGCCGCAGGTTTCGGAGACTTGAGTACAATAGTTCAGCTGCGTTCCTTCGGCATCACGGACGATGTTTTGGTTTTGAGGGACCGTAGAAGTCCTTGGGTTGAGTGCTTTGTTGATGGTACCCGTATCCCTTGATTTTGACGCTTCGTTGCTTGTACGACGATATATTTCCTGATGTTTTTGTAGTCTCGTCTCATGCTGGGTATCTTACTATGGGTGTTGGCGAAGACTCGAGAACAACCAATTTAACTCCGTATTTAGGAGTTCAATTGCAACAAATCAGCGGTTTTCTTATGCTTTGACAAGGTGCTTTGGGTTATCTTGTGGCCACGGAAACACATCCGTTGCCTTGGAAGGTGTAGCGAAGAGAGAGAGAGAGAGAGGAAGTACTGGACAGTTGCTTTCTTTTTCCTCTGCTTCCCAGTGGCGCTCAACCAGATGCCCTTCCTTGTCTCAGGCTGTCACATTACAACCATTTCCCTTTTCTTGCCAACACCAGTGACCAGAAGTGAAAGTAGTACGACTACTTCGCCGGTCTCGCTGCTGTTGCAAGAGTTGTTATCAAAGTGCTTCCACCCCCCCGCCCCGCGAGTAAGAAACCGAGACCCTCAAAGATAAAGAGGCGTCGACACGGAGGGGGTAGGGGACACACAGTGAGGAGTACATACTACGTAGAACATTGATATATTTGTTGCGTTAGGTATTCGAGACCCTCACTCTCTCTCTCTCTTTCTCTCTCTTTCTTACTAGTTTCTTCCTTCTTTTGCTTCTTGGGTCATCGATCGCTTCTGTTCGCTATGCATATAGATTCAACGCCCAGAAGAGCCGAGGTTCTTAAGCCCCACCTCCCGCCCATTTTTTTTGCAATAAACCCCCAAGTTTCTTGTTCAAAACTCCCTCTTTAATCTGCCTGCCTCCTATCCATCCGTACGCATCCAACAGAGGCGCACAGGAACCTTTCTTCGGGAGGCAGTCGTTGTTCGGGGGGGAGTCGCCCAACGAGCATCGTGGGGTTACAACCAGGCGGCGCGGCCGCCACCGCGCGCTCCACGCCTCGTTGCCAACCACGACAGCGGGGCTTCCCAGCCTGGCCGGGCTACCGAGCGCTAACAACAACAACAACAACAACTACAACAACAGCAACGCCCCGCCTTCGCCATCCAACGGTAGCGGCGGTAGGTCTCGCAGAGGGAAGTACCCGGTGATAGAGCTTTACCGGCGGGACCCCCAAGGCAGCACCATCGCTGATGCTGCGGCCGGTATCGACGTCGGCGGTTGCGATGACGACGACGACGATGGCTTGGCGGGAAGGAGGCTTCCGTACGGGCGGCGCGGCGAAGCCGGGGCCCGACGGACGGCGGAGCCGCCGGCAACGGCGGTGGATCACCTCCGGTCTGTGCTGGGACTGGCGTCGGATCAGGTGGACCTTATGCTGGAGTCGTTCCCGACGCTCGCGCACGTCGACCCGGACAAGCTAGGCCTGCCCGCAAAGCTCGTGAGAGATATTGTGCACCAGGGTGGTAGAGCAAGGTGCAGCGGTAGCAGCGAAATAATTGTAGCATGCGGCACAATGATAGCGACGAGAGTGGTAATAGTAGAACAAAGTGCCGCAGTACAGCGGTAGCAACAAAAGAGTGGCAGAGCAGTGCAGCGGTAGCGAACGGTGAAATATGGTTGCAGTAGCGAGTGGTTGAACACGGTACAGTAAAATAGTGGTGCGGTGTGTTGAGCGAAATGCCTCTGAAGGACTGGTTGCTCCAGCCTCGGGTATGCCCCTCCCAGCTTGTCCGGGGAAATGCGGTATCATCTTGCCCCCGCGTTCTGGAGAATGTTCCGCGCTTGTGCGCCCCAACAATATCACAATATCACAATATCACAATGAACACATTACAATTACCCGTTCTACCTGGCACTCCTGAGCGTGTTGCTTCATTTCTTACATGTGTGTGGGTGATCACGTTTAGTTGATATCATACCGTGTGCGTGGCAAACAGTGTAGGCGGGCACCTGCCTGCATCTGCAAACAGGGTACCAGCTCGTCCCCTTCCACCGGCTCTACCACCGGGCAGGCAGAAGCGTCTCCGGCACCGTCGAATGTCGATCAGCCCTAGTAATTTCCGCTACTTCCCTCCTCGATTGTTCGCAGCGGTTCCTCCGTCACACGATAGGCGGCGAAGTCCGCACGGTGGCTGTTTCCTTCCCCCAGTTCTTCGGGCACCCGCTGGAGAGACTCATCGCGCCCAGGCACGCATTTCTTGTAGCCAACGGCCGCCCATCAGGTGCGTGGTGCGTGCTTTAAAAGCGACAGACGATCCTCCAGATATACAGAAAAAGGCAGAACCCTTTCCGGGAAAGCCCACCCAAGCAGATCGGTGGAGCTGGCTCTGGTGCAAGAGAGAGGGAGGGTTTGGGGTGTGGGTTTTGGTTCTGGACAGTCGTCCCTCAGAAGCAGCCACCTGGACAGACCGAGCGACCGCGCGTGTAGGTGTGTTTCCCTTGTCGGAGAGGCGTTTGGTCCCAGGCGGCGCTTGCTTGCTTGCTTTATATCTACGATGATGCTGTTGAAGCGCCGTGGATTTTAGCTCCGAGCGACGTGTGTGAGGTTCGGGCGTGGCCTTTGTGCAGCGCTGCGAGATTTTACTCAACAGTTTTGCTCCACTTTTTGTACTCGTGTGGATTCGCCCGTCGTTTTCGCGCTACCTACCTACCCTGTCGCCAGGGGAGCGGCTTCTGGAGGCAGGGTGCCGAGGTCTGAGGCGGATGCTGGAACTACCCGTAAACAGGCGAGACGAAGCGTGAACTCACACACACAGCAGCAGCAGCAGCAGCAGCAGCAGCAGCAGGAGTTGTGCGTTTTCAACAGGGTGCACCCTGTGCGCTCGCGAGACGAATCAGTGTTTTTTCAGCAGCAGCAGCAACAGCAGCAGCGGCAAGGGGGCCACACCTTTCCGGGCCAATGCCGGCCTCCGGAGCTGATCTCGGCGTGTTTCCTACCCCAAGAGGGGACCACGGTGCTTTGAATGCTCTTGTCCCGTTGCTGTTCGCCGAGATGTCAACCAATCGGCGGGTCCCTGGCTGTCGGTGCTTGGAGAGCCCACAGATTGCTCCAAACCCGGGGGTCCCCTGGATGAGGAGTGCTCACACGCGCCCTTGGCCTAAACCAACGCGAAAGCAAAGCACGCCGTACGCGCTTGGTGGCCGGAGGGGGGGGGCGGAGGGGTAATGGACTTGGTTTTCCAGCGCAAGAGGCTTTCGTTCCGATGATGATGGCCTCCCGGGAGGGGTCCCTAAGCTACGTAATATAACACGCCCAATAATCACGCTCATGGGGCATTCACTCCTGACGTGCTCCTCACCATCCGTGATCCTTGCTCTGTTGCCGCACCTATATGTACATGTACCCTGCTGCTGCGTGATGCGATGAGAACAGATTTGTGGTGGAGATGGTTCCCAGCCGTGAGGTGTCTGACTACCGCCGGTTCGAGCAGGCGTTTCTGCGGGGGCCGTTCGATGCCGCCAGGAAGGGCGACGGGGAAACCCTGCGGCTCTTGCGCTCCCACGGGTGTGGGTGTATTTCTGTTGTTAGCATCGACCGCGCTAACCGACTGACCAAAGAAAAGACGTCAGTCTCAGTGCGGGCGCAAACCAATAACACTTCGAAGTGCCATTAACTGGGACCCCGTGAGGGGGCGGCATGGGGGAGACTAACCTATTCTCCGGTGTGTGTTTGTATGTGTGACTTTAGTTAACATCGACCGCGCTAACCAGCTGACCAATGAGAAGACGTGCGTCTTGCGTGTGTGTGTGTTTTCGCCCATCTGGTCTGAGAGGGCACGAAAAAAAGTCAGCAAGATGGCTCAAAACACGCTTTATTGCGTAGATGGGAACACTGGTGAATAGCGACTTCAAGTGTAGTTTGGCACCGTGCGATTGCGGAGACAATACATTTCTCTCTCGTGTGCAGCACGTGGAGGTGATGCCTGCTTGAATGCTGGGATCACGAGGTCAAGCCTTCTTAGCCTTCAGCAACCGAACACAAACACGCGGGGCAAACAGGATGAAGCTATATGCCGTGCATCCGCCTGAGCCGCCCACCGCAAGACCGCGGTTGTTGTTGTCCGATTGCATCTCGCTCTTTGCCTGTTCACCTGCGGAGCCCCCTCTCCCCCTCGTCGTCGTTTCCATTGAATCGCGTGTGACGCTTCCTACAGGTGGGACTGCTGGGAGACCGACAGACGAGGGCGCACGGCGCTGTTCTGGGCAGCCGGCGGGGGCTCCGTAGAGGCATGCGAGGCGTTGGTGGAGGGGGAGGGGGGGCTCCGGCCGCAAGATTCAGGCGGCGACGGGTCGACTCCGCTTCACTGGGCGGTGGCCGGGGTGGAGACGAGACGATTCGGCACCGGCGGGCACGTCAACGTAGGTGCATGCCTTTTTTTCTGTCCCACTCCCTATTGCCTCTACTTTCTGTCGCTCTCTCTCTCTCTCTCTCTCTGTCTCCCTGTCCCTCTCTCTCGCCCTCCTTCTGTGTGTGTTCCTTCCTCTCCCTCTCTCTCATCTACGGTTGCCCACAACTCCATAGCCCTCCTCACCACCGTCCACACTTGACCGTGGCTGCCATCGCAATTTCTTCCGTGCCGAAGGTCTGCCGATGGCTCTTGAACCTCGGCGTCGACACTAAGGCGAGAACCTCCGAGGGAAACACGGTCATCATGTGGGCAGCGTGGGCGGGGGGTCTCGACGCCACGAGGTTCGACAACGGTGGTGCCCCTCTTGTTTTGCCAATTTTACAAGCGTACACCGAAAAATAACAATTGACGTCCACACAAGCACCGGCGCGCAGACGCAAGGCCGCGCAAATCACAAGTGGTAGGGTGTGGCACGAAGAACGACGAACAACATGACTGCTGGATATGGTGTGCAACACATAAAACCGCAGTTCGCGCCTATCCTGTCTGTTGGCTGACGCTTGTTTGTTTTCGAGGACGAGTTGTGCAAATAACCGTTGATTTTTCAGTTGAGTCGTGCCGCAGAAAGAGAGATTACGCAAGACAGGAGTGGTGGAAATTTCGCTTTGTGGTTGTCTATTTTTTTCGAGGGACAAACCATTGTCAATCAAGCTCACACACCGCCGACCTCGTTCTCTCCCTCTCTCCTTTTGCTTAACGGAAATGACTCAGGCGGTCCTTGACTCGCGTTGGAAGCTGATAAGGCTCCAATTGGTCACGTTGTTTCAACACCCCAACATCAGACAATTGATGAATGGTGACAGTAACAACAACTACAACCAACAACAATAACGATAGGTGGGCAGTGGAGGAGGCTGGCGCACTTGATCTAGACGCGGCTAACGCGAACGGATGCACCGTGGCTCACTGGGCCTCGTCGGGCGGTGACGAGGCTGTTTGCAGGTATGCTACGCACGTGTTGCGCCCGTGCATCTCCGGGCGGCGGTATCGCGTTCACTTTTCACCAATGATACCCACCCACCCCCTAGCGTTTCGTAAATATTTTTTCGAATCTTCAGTCCAACAGCAGCACTGTATCATTCGATTCCGGCATCCTCTTCGTCGTGGAGCAGAAGAGGTTTGAGATTCGGTCCGGGGGGTGTGGTGTCTTGTGCAATCTACGATGGTTGGCTTCACTCGCCCGAACGTCGCGGGACTGAAACGGACACCAAAATGTCCCACACTTTGGTGCTACAGCACAGATTTCCATCCCTTACTGATATACCTCTTTCCACACGCAACGCAAGCAGGCACCCCCCCCCCCCCCCCCCCCCCCCCCCCCCCCCCCCCCCCCCCCCCCCCCCCCCCCCCCCCCCCCCCCCCC